ATAGATTGTTCTTCTTACTTCTAGTACTATTATTACTATTATTTTTATTATATTACTATTTTTTGTTGTATCCTTTTCCCTTTCAATTTAAATACATTTATTCTCTTACTGATTTTATCTTTTAATTTTTAATATGATGCTTGACTTTGTATTTAAGCCTATAGCCTGATTGCACTGACCAACTGTTTTTAAATAACTTTATACTATATATATTCCAAGATAGTTATTATATCTTGCTTATTTTAATATCATTTATTGTGTTTGAGCATGAGTTTCACTGAATGAATCATTTTCAGTATTTCTAACATTTTCAGAGTTTCCATCAGTACTTATCAACCAGGGAAAGTAAATATGAAAATGTCCATTTTCATTGTAACTAAAACTAAGTACCTTTTATAACTCCACTGGTAACATAAATATGTTTTCAGGTGATAACGGGAGAGGAGGATATGAAGAAATTAAGGTTCGAAGTTATGAAGTTTGGCATGACTGGGTTCCAGAAGAAGAAACAAGAGGACGAGAGAATTAATCTGGCTGTAAGACTGGGAGCAAAACCACCCAAGAATAAGGTATGTATTTTTTTAAAGGGCTTACAATTCAGCAATTTTCTATACTATCTTTTTTATTATTATTATTATTATTATTGTTATTATTATTTTAGAGTTTTGATATGTCTAAAGAAACATTTCTGTTTTAAAGTTTGGCATTTTGATTAGAGATAAGTTTTGATTTGTATAGTGCTTGTAGAAGACAAAGTGCCATCACATTGGTAACATAAGGAGCACAGATGTGGCTGAAGGAAGGAGAAAATCATGAATTGCAGAGTGTCTTTGCCATATTATTATTTTTTGATGTTGTTGATAAATTCATTAATTTTAATATGCATTCTCTGAATCAATAGTTCACACTGAAGAAGCTTCTGAAATGGATTTGTTCTTCTCCTTCTTCTTCTTCTTCTTCTTCTTCTTCTTCTTCTTCTTCTTCTTCTTCTCCTCCTCCTCCTCCTCCTCCTCCTCCTCCTCCTCCTCCTCCTCCTCCTCCTCCTCCTCCTCCTCCTCCTCCTCCTCCTCCTCCTCCTGTTTTTTTTGTTGTTGTTGTTTTTTTGTCCCATTGAGTTTATTTCTACATTCTTGTCTTCCTGTGTAATCAATATTTTCTTTTTGAAGGCTATCAACTATAAGCAGTTGATAGAGATGAGGAAAGAAGAGAAAAGGAAAGAGTTGGAGGAACAGAAGGCAAAACAAGAAGCAGGACTTCAGGTAAAGTTTGAGTTCTCGGCAGCTATCATAAAATTTCAGATTGTTGTTGATTGTCATTAGTAAAAGATTTGTAGGAAGCAAACAGTGTGTTTAGGTCAAATTCTTAACAGTTCATCTGTGACCTCTTCACATTAGTAGGCACCAATTCTTGCCCTGATACACTGAGTCCATTTGCTGGGTGATATGCATCAATGTCATGCATGATCAAACCTACTCTATGTAGACCCTTGTATTGTAGACCCTTGCTTGTTTGTTTGCCCTGACTGCAGTCTCTGAAGAGTTAGAGCCCTCGAAAATAAGCTTAAAGCCTTGTTAACCTCTATGATCTGGATGACTTGACCATCACATCGTGAAGAAGTTTGGTTTGAGGGGCAGTTGACATTAACATGCCATCATGGGAAAATTTGGCGGTGGGCTGGGGTGGTGTGAACATGCACTTCGGCTGAAGGCTGGGATGATGGGAAAAACTCGCCACGAGTGCACAAGGAGGCTGATTAGACTCATTTGGTGTTTAGGAAGGGGCTCTTGAATTTTTTCCATTGATAAGTGAGTGTGGAATGTAATTTAATGGCCAATAGAGACAAAATAATATTGCAAAGGGGAGGCATGGAGTCTTGTCTCTGCACACAAGTGTTCATTTGCACCTAGCCTACAAACTGCACACCCAGCATAGTGTCCACTCCCATAAACCTAATGCCTGTATTTTGTTCCACATAATGGCAGTGAAGCATTCAGATTTGGTTAATTAAAAGATCGTACATACCACAGCCAAATTATAGGCAGTAGGGAAAACATTTATATCCCATGCTTCTAATTTTTCACTAAAGTGGCTGACTGCACCTTAGCACTGAACACATAGTTCTGTATAGCATTGGTAAAATATGTCACCACAGGTTTGATACTACTGATATTCATGTATTATATTTTGATCACTAATATTGATATCAAGAATACGAGTGCACAGTGTAATGTAAAATTAATGAAACCCTTTTCTTTGCAGTTTAAGAAGTCCTCAAAGAAGAAGCAGTCTTCCAAAAATAAACCACGAAATGTTAATAAGGTGAAAGGGGTTGGAGGACAAATTGGCCACGAAAAGAATGGAATGCGAATACTCTCGAAGAAAGATATTGAAAGGATTAATGCTTCCTAGACCACATAGTCACTTATTTTCAATGTTAGATATATATATATTTGATGATGTATAAATAAGTAAAATAAATGTTTCAACAATGATTTAAAAA